AGAAGATCTTGTCTTCCAGCTGAAAAGAAAAAGTATTACAACTGAAAACGCTGAAGTTCTACGCAGCATCTGAGCTATAGTTGGAGTAATATCACCACGACAGATGTTGTGAATTGGCGGGTTGAGATATTGCCATTTTCCATCCCTTTTATTCCTAGTGATAGAATCGTTTAAGTAAGTAAGCCTGTAAATATTTTTCAATTTTCGATGTGGGACTATTCTCACCTCTCTTTCTCACTGCTGCAACTCCTGTGTAGCCAGAATCTACTTCAATTTTCAATAAACTCTCTGTTTACTTCAACGGTATATCCCCAGGCGGCGTGGGAGGAGTCGACGTGGAAAACGTCGCTTCTATTCGTGCTGTCTCCGGGCGTTGACCCCACGGCGTCGCTCATCCAGCTGGCCATCGACGTCAAAATGTTCGACAAGTTCCAGTCGCTCAGCCTCGGGCAAGGCCAGGCGCCCACGGCTGCCAAGTAAGAAGCTCCGCTAGTCTATGTTCAACAGCTTATCACCAGGTGGCGTGGGAAGAGTCTACGTGGAAGACGTCACTTCTATTCGTGCTGTCTCTGAGCGTGGATCCTACGGTGTCGCTAATCCAGCCCAGCTGGCCATCGACGTCAAGATGTTCGACAAGACTAGCTGAGTGACTGGGCTTAGTCTGAGGCAAGGCCAGGCGCCCACCGCTGCCAAGTAAGGGGCTCTGCTAGTCAATGATCAACAGCTCATCAACCAGGTGGCGTGGGAGGGTTGACGTGGAAGACGTCGCTTCTATTCGTGCTGTCTCTGAGCGTGGATCCCACGGTGTCGCTAATCCAGCCCAGCTGGCCTTCGAGGTCAAGATGTTCGACAAGACTAGCTGAGTGACTGGGCTTAGCCTGGGGCAAGGCCAGGCGCCCACCGCCGCCAAGTAAGGAGTTGTGCTAGTCAATGTTCAACAGCTCATCAACCAGGCGGCGTGGGAGGGTTGACGTGGAAGACGTCGCTTCTATTCGTGCTGTCTCTGAGCGTGGATCCCACGGTGTCGCTAATCCAGCCCAGCTGGCCATCGAGGTCAAGATGTTCGACAAGACTAACTGAGTGACTGGGCTTAGTCTGAGGCAAGGCCAGGCGCCCACCGCCGCCAAGTATGAAGCTCCGCTAGTCTATGTTCAACAGCTCATCAACCAGGCGGCGTGGGAGGAGTCTACGTGGAAAACGTCGCTTCTATTCGTGCTGTCTCTGAGCGTGGATCCCACGGTGTCGCTAATCCAGCCCAGCTGGCCATCGAGGTCAAGATGTTCGACAAGACTAACTGAGTGACTGGGCTTAGCCTGGGGCAAGGCCAGGCGCCCACCGCTGCCAAGTAAGGGGCTCCTGTTTCAATGTGCTAGTCAATGTTCAACAGCTCATCAACCAGGCGGCGTGGGAGGAGTCTACGTGGAAGACGTCGCTTCTATTCGTGCTGTCTCTGAGCGTGGATCCCACGGTGTCGCTAATCCAGCCCAGCTGGCCATCGAGGTCAAGATGTTCGACAAGACTAGCTGAGTGACTGGGCTTAGTCTGAGGCAAGGCCAGGCGCCCACCGCCGCCAAGTATGAAGCTCCGCTAGTCTATGTTCAACAGCTCATCAACCAGGCGGCGTGGGAGGAGTCTACGTGGAAGACGTCGCTTCTATTCGTGCTGTCTCCGGGCGTTGACCCCACGGCGTCGCTCATCCAGCTGGCCATCGACGTCAAGATGTTCGACAAGTTCCAGTCGCTCAGCCTGGGGCAAGGCCAGGCGCCCACCGCTGCCAAGTAAGGAGCCTAGTTTTCCGATGCTAATTCCCATAATTCAAGTTTGTAACTTTGCCTTTTTCTTCTAGACAGACCGTAATTTTTAAATTTTTGTTTTTGATGTGTGCAAGCTTTTCCAAGCAAGCTTTTTTTTAGACATCATATCAACATCATGTGGATTGCAGCAGTATAACTACATTCAATCTAAGAGTGCCCCTGTCTTTTAAACGGTGTCGTCTTGCCAGCGCCCGCGCAGTGTCGATGTGGCGTGTTTTTTTGGATAAGTCCCTCACTCTGCTGTACTCAGCGTTGCCGCTACGTGAGGGAGTAAAGGAGGCCTAATTTCTCTGGCTTCCCTGCCCAATACCGACGACCTAGGCATGTCCTAGACGACCCGGACGATCCTATTACCGAATTTCTGAACACAGACATCACTGCCTTAAGCACGCCAACTACTCCTCAACACAGTAGCTCGTTACACCGTACTCGCCGGCGAGTACGAGGCCCTGCTTTCCATTTCGGACGGTACAGACATGTACCGGGCCGGTTCTCCCCTATCCGTCCCCCGGACACGGCCTGAGCCGAGGTCCGAGCCTACCGTGGCGCCCTCAGGTCGCGTCCGTAGTCCCCTCGATCGGGCCCACTAGAGTGAGCCCGCTGTAGGCTGGACTTGGGTCCAACACCGCGGTGGGCAACCCTCTAGTTGGGTTCGCCACTGATCGGGCGCCTTATGCGCTCGATACGGCCCGATCGCGAAAGTCGGTCTGCGACCGACAATCGCTAAACGGCTAGAGTACCTTCTGTACTCGCCACTCTGCCCGGTGAAGCTGGAAAAACTCCTCAAGCTACCAGCGCGCGTCCCTTCAAAAAAAAAACTGACTTCCCCAGAATGCTATCGCTCGGCATGAAGGAGGGCTGGGTGATCATAGTCGACTGGCAGTATTGCTAAGCAGCATAATTTACTTGACTTGGCCTCCAGGATGCTGTCTCACGGCATAAAGGAGGGCGGCTGTGTGTTCCTGGCCAACTGGCAATCTTAAAAGCGAAAGGTCACTGACTGATCACTTATCACGGAATCTCAGAAACTAGAAGTGCTAGGAGTCTCATGCATGGGGTTTCCTTTTAGAACGTAGGTGCTTACTAGACGGGATTTTGCAAAATTCAACCCCTAAGGCCCAGAACAGACGGTGAAACGCAACTGCAACGAAACTGCAACTTTCTGATGATTCTTATGAATGAAACTGAAACTGAAGTTTCAAACTGGTCGCGTCATGTGTGGTCTCTTAACGGACGCTATAGCAGTTGCAGTTTCGTTGCAGTTGCGTTTCACCTTCTGTTCTGGGCCTTAGGGGGAATAACGGGATCTACGCGTACGAAGTCGCGGACGGCCGCTAGTATTGCTGTAATCAGCTTAATTTATTTGACTCGGCCCCCAGGACGCACGGCATGAAGGAACATTTTTTTAGGAACTTTTTTAAAAAAAACTAAGGTTAACTTTTTAAAAAAATATAACCGACTTCAAATGCGTGAACACAAAAAAAAAAACTAAAAATTTAAAAATTTTGATAATACCTATTCAACAAAAAAATAATCGTTCAAATTGGTTCATAGTCGGCGGAGATATTGCGTATAAATAAGTTCATCCCCAATTTTCCACCCTTGGGGGTGAAATATTTTCTTCAAATTCGCATAAAACCACCCTTTTGATAATACCGCCAGCGAGATGACAACATCAGAAAGACGCTAGTATGGAGGAGGTTTAAATTCTTTGTCTTCCCCAGGATGTTATCTCACGGCATGAAGGAGGGCGGCTGGGTGTTCCTGGCGAACTGCCACCTGGCGTGCGAGTGGCTGGGCTCGCTGCGAGGCTTCGACAACCCGCGCATCCACCCGCGCTTCCGGCTGTGGCTCACGTCCATGCCCGACGACAAGTTTCCCCTTAACGTGCTGCAGCGAAGCATTAAGATGACCACCGAGCCGCCGCAGGTGGGAAACAGTAAACATACGCCCGTATTCACAAACGATGCTCGCTTAAGTGAAGCAGCAAATCGAACGCACAGCCTTGAATAGAGCTCTGTGTGCACGTCTTCGCTAGCAACTGCGTAAAAAATGATATTAAATGTATGACGAATTGTAGAACTTCCCTAGTATCCGCTTTCAAGAACTAAAATCTTCATAGATTTTTTTGACGCACACTGGAGAGGAGGGGATGAGAAGCGGCAGCTCAAATATAGTGTCTCGTGCTCCCGCAAAGTCAAAGTCAAGTCAAAATTTCTTTATTTGTTTGGACTAATAAATAGTTCTTACAAATCGTCATTTTGCTCTTAAGGAGCCTCTACATGTCTCATAATCTTTTTACCCTACCAGCGCTTCGAGACCAACATTTGGCAAGTGCTGAGAAGAAGCGCCGCAACAAACTCAGTCACCACTGTCTGCCGGTTAATATAAATAAATACACTCGCGAGCAAAACTATGGAATCATTTACATGAAGTTGTTTCCACGCGAACTTGTGTACTAACGAATTTGTTAGTAACAAAAAAAGTAGCATCATTTTAAAGATTAAACTTTTATCTTTAAATTGATGCCAAATTCATTTAAATCACACCAGTATTTAAAAAGATATCGCGGCTGATGTGAAGAAGTAACGAAAAAGACATGTATGAACTGTGTGATACGTCGCGAGTTGCGGCCTATTTACCCCCTATAAAAGCACGCGTTTTTAGATTTTTGCTTTCATACGTTGATTCATATACATCTCCGCTTCTTTTGACATTTTACCTGGGATTCTACACCTTCAGAAGCAGCACAAATCGTTGCACTATTGCAAGAAAGGCTCAGCCAGCGGGCTGTCGCACGTCAGCGCCACATAAGCCAGTCCTGGGTTTCGAAAGTTTCAAGACGCTTTCGGGAGACTAGTGGCTTTATCTCGAGACCAAGTTCTGAACAGCGCCGGTGCACATCGCAGAGGGAAGACCGTTTTTTCATGTCAACCTAATTATCTATATGAAAAGAGCTTTCATATTTCTTTAGCCAGTGTTCAGTAATACATATTACATTAATATCAAAACTTTTCAAGAATAGCTCTATTTCTAAGACTTTGCTGGCCAAGCCTTGAATATTTTGATGAACAATCTTGAATGTTCCGGGCTTGGCCTTTGTCGAGTGCCTCAGTTTAAACAACTAGTAGTAGGTACAGTCATAATATTGTTACTATTTACATACTGAGATATCAAATTATTAGTACCCTCACTATGATCAGTTTTATGAATATAATTACATTTAATATTGTATGCAAACAATGAGGCTAATTTATTCTTCAAATTAGCCGTGTATGTAAAGACACAGTTCGCAAATCCGCTTCGCATACTCTCGCTCCACTCCGCTATACATAAACCGCGTGCCGCGTCTATACATAAACAGTTTGCAACGCCGCTCCAAGTTACTTCTTCGTTCTGCTTGAATGGGCAACCCTAGTAACTTTTTTTTGAAAATTGTGCATTAGAATTATTGGTTGAGTGTCAACCGCCTCTGTGGTCTAGTGGTAAGACCACCTGCTTCAGACGCAGAGGTCCAGGGTTCGATTCCCAGTGGGGACAGATTTTTCTGTTCGGTTTGGTTGGTAGGGCTTGTTCTAAGTCCGTCTGGCTAGCTACCACCATCTTACCTAAGTTTGTCGCCATAACAACAATGTTAACAGCATTGTTGTGTTCCGGCAGTTAGAGGTAAGATAGCCAGTTCCTCCGTGGTTGAGGATTCCGGGTGAAGCTCGCTTCCACCTTCGGCCTGATCATCACTTACCATCAGGTGAGATACAGGCCAAGAGCTTCCTCGTTGTGGATATAAAAAAAAAACCAACACGATACATCCACCATCAATGTGGACCGACGACCTCATAAAGGTAGCAAGTAGGCCACTACCAAATGGGAGAGGACGAAATCATTGGGGGAGGCCTATCTTCAGCAGTGGACGTCCTGCAGCTGAAATTATGATGATGTCAACAGCTTTTGAAATGTTTTACAAAACTTGCAGGGCCTGAAAGGCAACATGGTGCGCATCTTCGCTAACCTGAACGAGGACAAGTTCGACGAGGCGTCGCCCAAGTACCGGCGCCTGCTGTACTGCGTGGCTTTCTTCCACTGCACACTCATTGCTCGCAAGCGCTTCCGACAGCTCGGCTATAATGCTGTTTACAGCTTCAACGACGCCGACTTCGACGTGAGTTGAGTTGATAGCCGCTTCCAAATCTAGACAGAACGAGCACGGCTCGCGAGACATGCTCAGACTCGCAAGTAAAGCAGGGTACTCATCTAGCCGTGTAGCATGTAATGTATCAGATACTGTATCAAGTGAGTACATAGGCACGAGCCCGCTGCGAGTTGCTCGCGCGTTGTCCGCAGGGCGACCGCAGCGATCCGTTGATTGGCGGTATCACTGCGAGCACAAAGGCAGCTAGATAGATACGCGATGACCGTGGACGAGCCGTACTCACTTGAAGGTTGGACACGTTACATGCTACGCTACGTGCTACATGGCATGTGAGTACCCTGTCTAACGCTTGGAATCGCGCTCGGACTATCTAGACACGCTGGGACTTGTGGGACACGCTTGGACTCGCGAGCCAAGGTGAGCCAGTTAGAGCGTTTAGTTCATCGAGCTTCCAGTGTTATTACGTCTGTTTATACTGCGCCAGCAGTCAGTTAAGATTGAGAGAGCTTTTGAGCATCGACAAAAATTGACAATTTAATATTTATGGCTTGCTGTCGATAGACACACTGCTCGAGACTTCGGCTCTCGGAACTACCTCGCGAGTTGTGCTTGGCTAGTCTGAATGCGGCCTTTGTCGCTTAGTGGAGGTGTACTAATAATGTATCTTTAGAAATAAACCCCCCTAAGGGGGTAAAAAGAGGGTTAGAAGTTTAAATAACTAACATAAGTTCAGTATGATTCTTTATTGGTTCTACCACCCAAATACAGCCACAACATGACTATTATGTATCTCCACCAGGTGTCAGACAATCTACTAGCCAATTACTTAGAGGAGTACGAGGAGGTGCCGTGGGACGCGCTTCGCTATCTGTTCGCCATCATCAACTACGGCGGCCATATTACTGACGACTGGGACAAGCGCGTGCTCATTGCTTACATAAACCAGTTCTTCTGCGAAGAGGCGCTCGACGTGCCCTTCTACAGGTAGTTAGAATAATATCTATCAATTTCAGGGCCCACGCTGGTGAGATAAGCTGCACTGTATTTATTGTAACATCTACAGGGTGACTTTGTTATCAGTATCCAAATTTTTTTAATAAGCTCGTTAGAACAATTTGACAATACAACTTTATCGTAATAATTTTTAATTGTGATATTTTTCGCAAAAAAAAATATTGAAAGTCTAGTTCGCAGGTGCCCATATCTTAAGTTTTAAAGGTTATTGCTTATTTTTGCTCACCATTATGTCTATTAAGCTTTGCAGTTAACTATGTGTACATTTATTTCCATGAACGAAGCAAACTTTCCACGTGAGTCAATTTGGAAACCGCGCGCAGCGGATGAAAATAATTAAATATGGAGAAAAAAGTTTTGTTTTCATTACGTAAATCAATTAAGTTACTGATTCTGAGTCGATCCTGAAAATTTGGATACTGATACAAAAATCACCCTGTATGTTTTAACTTGTTTTGGTGAATAAATAATCTTCATCTTTACGCTACATTTTGCGCGGGTGAAAGAAGCGTGCGCCTGTCTATTAGCGACCCCGCACACTAAGCAGACTGGCTGCGGCAGCCAGTCGAACATATGACGGTGTATGGGAGCCCGCGCACTCGGCAGCCAAGATTGTTCATATATTGGAATGGCTGCCACAGCCAGACTGCCTAGTGCGTGGGAGGCTTCTTCTAGGTCGATACACTCTTGTCAGAGTGGTCGTGGTCATCATTTTGAATCATGATTCCTCGTAATACGGCGCCATTCCTCGCGGACTGCAGCTTTCCGGGTACTTCCGTTAACCGAGCACTTAGTTAGAGTAGGGAGGCTACGCGTGTGGAAACCTGTCTCTCGCGTCCGCACCTCACTGCGCCGCAGATACCATTTTATTTTACTGCGTTAGGATTGGATGACGCGTGCGTGCGCCCGCGCAAGATTTAGCGTCGGCCCGTTTAAGGCCTCAGCCTCGAACTTAGCGGGCAGCGGGGCGGCGGCGGCGGCGGCGCGGGAGCGGGGCGGGCAACGCAGACCCGTTCTCGAAACCAGCGGGCAGCTCGCGCGGCGCTTTAGCGGCGAAGTGTTGTGTTCGGGGTTTGTGTATTGTCGAGATATTTGTTTTTATTCGCAAACGAAATGTCTGAACAACGGGGACAATTTTATTTCGATTCAAATTTATTCCTAACGCTCGATTTATTGTGGGCAAAAGAAGGAGTGCGCTGCCCGCTCGTTACCCGCTCCCTCGCCGCTGCCCGCTCGTTGCCCGCTCCGGCGCCGCTGCCGCGCCGCTGTTTTCGAGAACCGGTCTATTTGATTTCACGCATAAGATCCTGCCGCTGCCGCGCCGCCGCCGCTCCCGCCCCGCTGCCCGCTAAGTTCGAGGCTGAGGCCTAACGAGTATATGCAGAGTTCGTATGATACATTACATAATCTGTAATCCACCTTGATCCCCGCAGACTGTCGTCGATCCCCGCGTACCACATCCCGCGCGACGGCAGCCTGGAGTCGTACCGCGACTTCCTGGACCTGCTGCCGCCGGCCGAGCGCGCCGAGTCCGTGGGCCAGCACGCCTCGGCCGACGTGGCCACTCTCGCGCAGGTTGTATTGTAGACGACGGAATTTCTACTTTATGCCCTTGGTTTAAGGTTTCAATTTCCATGCATACCAATACCATAATTCTTGCGTACGGCTTTACCCCCACAGCAGGCAGGATTACGGCAGAATCTTTAACCCCCAGTGTTTGTTGTAGGATACCCTAATCATGTGCTCGACGCTGTTTGCGCTAGCGTCCACTGGGGGTGGCGGAGCTGGTGGTGGAGAAGACCAGAAGGTACATCTATACTAATATTATAAATACGAAAGTAACTCTGTCTGTCTGTCTCGCTTTCACGCCTAAACCACTGAACCGATTTTGATGAAAAAATGGCAATGCCAGATTTTGTATGGAAGGTGGCGTCTTTTTTTTTTCGCGCGGCCATTGACCAAACTTTGTTTTTTGATTACAGAATAGTGTAATAAACCAAACTTACTATGGCATGTATACCTCTAAAACTCAGTCTGAACTGAGTTACGAGTATTAAAAGTTTGATGATTTTAGTCTATTATGCAAAATTCTAGTATGCAAAATCATCAAACTTCTAATGCTCGTAACTCAGTTCAGACTGAGTTTAGTGGTATACATGTCATAGTAAGTTTGGTTTGTTACACTATTTTGTAATCAAAAAACAAGGTTTGGTCGATGGCCGCGCGAAAAAAAAAGACGCCAATTTCCGGCATTGTCTTTTGGCATAGAGATAGTTTGAGTCCCAGGAAAGGACATAGGATAGTTTTTATCATGGTTTTTGAAACAGGGATGCGCGCATAAAGTTTTTCTGTGACAGACAAAGGATTCGGTTCACAGATAAAGCAGGTTTAACCATGGGTTGGTGAAAGGATTGGTCTATTGACACGCTTTTTATTTGAATACTAGCGGCCGCCCGCGACTTCGTACGCGTAGATCCCGTTCTACCCCCTTCATCTATCTTACGCGGTTTAGATTTTTTCATACAAATGTTGTGTGTCCCCGTTACCGTGGGAATTTTGCAATATCCTGTTGTAACTAAACTTTAAGTTTACTAAGGTAACTGCATGCCAAATTTTAAGCGTCTAACTTAGGCGGTTTAGATTTTTCATACAAAAGAATTTTCCCGCTAATTCCCGTTCCCGTGGGAATTCCTAAGTATACTATAACCTGTCCAGGAGTATGAAAAATGATTGTACCAAGTTTCGTTAAAATCCGTCGAGTAGTTTTTGTTTGTATAAGGAACATACAGACAGACAGACAGACAAAAATTTTACTGATTGCATTTTTGGCATCAGTATCGATCACTAATCACCCCCTGATAGTTATTTTGAAAATACACTCGACAGCAAATAAATCGCACCACCCGCGACGCGAACTTTAAAGATTTTCTTTTGACACAATAATGGTGCCCCAACAATATTGGTGTTATTTGAAAGCCCAATAAATATCCTTAAAGAAAAACACATTTAATTTCTTAATAAATGACTAACATATACCATAAATATGACTTGAAAAAGACCTCACTTTGGGCTCACCTCTGGGATCAATTAGACCAAATTTTATGGTTATAAAACCAAATAATGATCACACGTGTCCTCTTTAACAGATGGATAGCGATTACTTAATCCCAACTTAACAGTTTTATAGTCATAAAAAATGGCTATAGCGTAACTACCTATTTTTTGAAGAAGTGACTCTGGATCCTTGTAAAGACACATTTTTGGGGTAAAAACCTTTCCTTTAATAAAATGAAGTTTAGAACTAGGCTTTTAAATGGTGCCAATATTGGTGGGAAGTAGGGATGCATGACGTTTGAAAATGCTTGTCGCGGGTGGTGCGATTTATTTGCTGTCGAGTGTATATTTCATGTACAGAATTGAGCTCTCTACAGATTTATTATAAGTATAGATGAAGGTTATGGCAAATCTGAGTTACCCAGGCCTTCTGTGATTGTGAAGGTGGACGAGCTGGCAGCAGAGATGCTGGTGAAGCTTCCGTTCAAGATCGACGTGGAGACCACGGAGCGGATGATGGGCCCCGAGATCGTCATGCCCATGTGTGTGTCGCTGCTGCAGGAGATCGGATACTACAACGTCCTCATCGCCAGCATCACGGCCGGACTCAAGGTAAGGACATCATCATCATCATTTCAGCGAGGCTTCCGACGACGGACTGCAATTAACTAGGATAGCGGTCCCAGTCGCCGGATCCGTAAAAATTAAATATTTTTCTTTCGGCGACTGGGACCACTTAAAAAATATATTATTCAAGCCAAAATTCGGCGCAACCACGACTGGCTCCCCGCTAATCCCCGCTTGTCAGTGTGTGCGTGCGCGCCGCATACGTGTTGGCGCGCTCACATACAAACCGCGCCCGTGCGTTTCTAGGAAGACGACCTACTCATTTGTATTTACTCTGGAACAAACGCAATATGGCTTTTTATTTGTGCTCTCTTCGTAACAAAGAAGAACGGTCATCTGTGACCCAGGCCCGACAGAAACGAGACATACCTCATTTTTTTTGTCATGTCTTAATTAGTTAAATTATATATTTTTTATATTCGAAATCTATGTATAACACCAAAATATTAACCTTTGTTTTTGTTCAGGCCTTATACAAAAACTAATACAAAATGCCTATTTATCACCAAAATTGGTAAGTGTATGTACCTAAATGTCTATTACGGCTGCTATGGAATGTATCTAGGTGACCTGGAGATACAGCCGGATTATATCTGTCGGTTTTTTTTGTATGGGGCGTGACCGTTCTTCTTTATAAAGAGAATCACATATTCTCTCGTCCTCCGCTTTGTTTTAAACCGGTCCTTCCTTAGTGGCGTATATGTAGTCGTTGGGTCAGTTTTATTGTCATGTTCCAATGACAATATTAATATTCCGTGTAATTTTTCAGGAGTTACGTCGAGCCATCGAAGGTCTAGTCGTCATGTCTGACATGCTGGAGATCATGTACTCTTGCATCTTCGAAGGCAGAGTGCCGTCCTTCTGGCAGAAAGGTTAGCGTTCTTTCAAAATTTATTATCATTTAGGAGTCAAGTGTCTCCAAGCAAACTTGGCGGCGCACTGTGGCAGACGAGGCGAAGAAGATCGGCAAGACTTGGAGCGAGATCAAACGCGAAGCTCAAGACCGAACGCGATGGAGGACTGTTATGGACACCCTCTGCCCTATCTAGGGGATAGTATAGGACCTCAACGCCTGGTTTCACCATCAATCCCTAAATTTTAAGTGACACATTTGAAAACAAAATTCCTGCCTATATGTTACCATAGAGGTCACTTAAAAATTAGGAATTGATGGTGAAAACGGGCATAAGTCAAGTAAGTCAAGTGTCAGTGATGAGTGAAGCTCATTAGTTCTCATACGTGTTTCACCATCAAATTGGCCATCTTTACGTACTCGATAAAACAACTCTTCTCAGTTTGGGTCCAAGTCACACAACATTAACTATAATAATAAAGAAATCGCAGTAAGGAACCATAGACTTGGCACGACTTTGTCTAGATTTCATTACTTTTTAGAGATAAACAAGCAGCTCCATCGAGACTTGGCTAGTTTTTTACAGAATGTTTTTGGTGGGATTTCCGTTTACACCATCAATCCCTAATTTTTAAGTGACTCCTGTGGTAACACATAACAGGAATTTTGTTTTCATAGGGGTCACTCAAAAATTAGGGATTGATGGTGAAAACGGGCATCGGTCACCTTTGTCAGCCTCTTTTTCAATCCAATACAGTAATTTATACCTTACATCACACGTACCTAATAAGTGCGAGCTAGGCAGGTAAAGTCGCACTCTTGTCATTTAAATAACCGTTTACTTTAAAAAGTCTCGTCGCCGAGCACGTAGAATTTTGTCCAATGACCCCAAGCTACCCATCCTTATCGCTCGCGCGTAATTATATTGCTGTCGCGCTCGCACACTCACTGCGGCCGCCCGTCGAACAGTCGCGACAGCAATATAATTACGCGCGAGCGATAAGGATGGGTAGCTTGGGGTCATTGGACAAAATTCTACGTGTTCGGCGACCGGGTTTTAGTATCCTTTATGCAACAGCATTCCTAAAAGCTGTCCCTCGCAGGTCGTCCGTCCATGAAGCCCCTAGGCGCGTGGTGCCGCGAGCTATACTTACTAAGGATGGGTAGCTTGGGGTCATTGGACAAAATTCTACGTGTTCGGCGACCGGGTTTTAGTATCCTTTATGCAACAGCATTCCTAAAAGCTGTCCCTCGCAGGTCGTCCGTCCATGAAGCCCCTAGGCGCGTGGTGCCGCGAGCTATACTTACTAAGGATGGGTAGCTTGGGGTCATTGGACAAAATTCTACGTGTTCGGCGACCGGGTTTTAGTATCCTTTATGCAACAGCATTCCTAAAAGCTGTCCCTCGCAGGTCGTCCGTCCATGAAGCCCCTAGGCGCGTGGTGCCGCGAGCTATACTTACTAAGGATGGGTAGCTTGGGGTCATTGGACAAAATTCTACGTGTTCGGCGACCGGGTTTTAGTATCCTTTATGCAACAGCATTCCTAAAAGCTGTCCCTCGCAGGTCGTCCGTCCATGAAGCCCCTAGGCGCGTGGTGCCGCGAGCTATACTTACTAAGGATGGGTAGCTTGGGGTCATTGGACAAAATTCTACGTGTTCGGCGACCGGGTTTTAGTATCCTTTATGCAACAGCATTCCTAAAAGCTGTCCCTCGCAGGTCGTCCGTCCATGAAGCCCCTAGGCGCGTGGTGCCGCGAGCTATACTTACTAAGGATGGGTAGCTTGGGGTCATTGGACAAAATTCTACGTGCTCGGAGACCGGGCTTTAGGATCTTTTATGCAACAGCATTCCAAAAAGCTGTCCCTCGCAGGTCGTCCGTCCATGAAGCCTCTGGGCGCGTGGTGCCGCGAGCTTTACTTGCGTGGGGCGCACCTCCACGCGTGGGCTAACGCGCCGCGCGCGCCGCCCACGCTCTGCTGGCTGCCCGCGCTCGTGGCGCCTACCGGCTTCCTCACCGCCGTCATGCAGGTATGTCAACCGGGCAGTCAACCCTGTAGCCTAATAGGGTCTTACACCTTTTTAGGGTTCCGTAGCCAAATGGCAAAAAACGGAACCCTTATAGATTCGTCATGTCTGTCTGTCCGTCCGTCCGTCCGTCTGTCCGTCCGTATGTCACAGCCATTTTTTTCCGAAACTATAAGAGCTATACCACAGAATAATAATAAGTACTACGTACAGAAGTTTTACTTCGCGAAGGTATTTAAAAAAATGTATGCTCAATGTCATTAACAATATGGTGTAATTTAGCTTGTCTCAAGAGTCAAGCAAGTTTGTCAGAAGTTTTGTTGACAAACGTCAGTGATCGGTACTGCGCCGAAGCTATAGGGCTGACTTCGGTAAAATGATGTGACGTGAAGTGCCAATCTGCAGAAAATGGCGGAGGAAATACATGATTTAGCATGAATTATCATGAATAATATTAACTACTTATTTACCTCTCAGTGTCTTGCTTGAGGTAACTTAAAAAAGTACATTCTGTGTTTTTATTATTTATATAGATGTATAGATGTATTCTGTGAACCGCATTAAGATTTTGATGCAGAAAAGTGAATATGCACTTACAGGGCAGATATGTACCATCCTAGACTGCATCCCACTTAATAGTTTGCGTGACAGACGCTTCCAAAGTGGAAAAAAGTTGGTCCCCCCCTCTTTTTCTTTCTCTTTTTCTTTTCCATACAAATAACTTAAAAAAAAATTCATAAATCAATGGTACGGAACCCTTTGTGCGTGAGTCCGACACGCACTTGGCCGGTTTTTTTTATCCACAACGAGAAAGCTCTTGGCCTGTATCTCACCTGATGGTAGGTAAGTGACGATCAGGCCGAAGGTGGAAGCGATCTTCACCCTGAATCCTCAACCACGGAGGAACTGGCTATCTTACCTCTAACTGCCGGAACACAACAATGCTGTTAACATTGTTGTTATGGCGACAGGCTTAGGTAAGATGGTGGTAGCTAGCCTGGCGGACTTAGAACAAGCCCTAACACCAACCAAACCGAACAGAAAAATCTGCCCCCACTGGGAATCGAACTATTTTTATGACATAATCAACTAACAATATTTGGGTTTTACTCAAAATTTAAAAAAATACGTATATCATCTAGGCGAATAAATTGCGTATTTTACTTTTCATTTGCAAAGAAACATTTTCAAGAAAAAATATTTAAAATTAAATTCAAAACAAGTCGCTGGATTGTATTTTTAAATATTTTTTCATCTAGCAACTGGGTCCACTATTCAGATTATAGAGTAGATTTTTGTTGAACATTGAAGGTAGGCCCAGATCCCGGAAGAGAAAATATTTAAAAGTTCAAACCAGTGATTTGGCCCGTGGACTAAGCTAAAAGTGTGCCAAGTCACTGGAAGTCTCAACTGAAAAAAATATCAATGGCGCGCCCGGAGAGGCTTAGTTCAAACGATCATAGCAAATGTTGTGATAGGGATAGAGACATGCGATTTTTGGTTTTACAAAGCTAATACGATAGAGAATAATACAAAGTAATAAAAATCCCCGGTTATAGGGGCATTTTTTGGATAAATTTATCAAAATAAATAACCAAAAAAACACGAATGCAGATTTTTTTCAAAAAGTATAATTTTTTATTATTTGCTGGCATTTTTTGTGTATTTTATGTATTTTTTAGTATTATTTTATCAGGATATACCGCTTAGTTTAAAAGTTATTACGTTTTCTTTACAATAAGTAATTGGAAGAAAAAAAATTATATTTAAAAATAATAAAAAATCTCATAAAAAAATTGACCTCTTTTTTGTCGATAAAAATAGGTCTAGTTTCATTTATTTTCATATGTACACTTTGCGTTACTCACACTGTATATCGGATATACAGTGTGAGTCACGTTACGATAAAATAAAAACAGTAATAATGCTAAATAACAGGCGATACTAAAAAAATATACAAAAAAGGCCAACAAATAATAAAAAATGATACTTTTTGAAAAAAAAACTGCTTTTAAATTCGTGTTTTTTTGGTTATTCGATAAATTTCTCCAAAAAATGCCCCCATAACCGGTGATTTTTATTACTTTGTATTATTCTCTATCGTATTACCTTTGTAAAACCAAAAATCGCATGTCTCTATCCCTATAACAACATTTGCTATGATCGTTTGAACAAAGGCCTGCCACAACATTATTCTCCGCTACAGGTAGAGACAATTTTAATTTTATGCTTATTTTACTTCGAAATCTTTGGTTTTTATTTGAAATCTAACTTGTCTTTATCAAAATTACAAATCTAGAACCATTTTCAGTTTCGTTGTTAACGAAGCGTTGAATGGCGCGCCCGGAGAGGCTTAGTTCAAACGATCATAGCAAATGTTGTGATAGGGATAGAGACATGCGATTTTTGGTTTTACAAAGGTAATACGATAGAGAATAATACAAAGTAATAAAAACCACCAGTTATAGGGGCATTGTTTGGAGAAATTTATCAAATAACCAAAAAACACGAATTTAAAAGCAGATTTTTTTCAAAAAGTATCATTTTTTATTATTTGTTGGCCTTTTTTGTGTATTTTGTGTATTTTTTTTAGTATTGCCTTATTTAGCATTATTACTGTTTTTATTTTATCAGGATATACCGCTTGGTTTAAAAGTTATTACGTTTTCTTTACAATAAGTAATTGGAAGAAAAAAAAATTCTATAAAAAATTTAAAAAAAAACTCAAAAATTTTTTGACCTCTTTTTTGTCGATAAAAATAGGTCTAGTTTCATCTATTTTCATATGTACACTTTAACATGACTCACACTGTATATCATAAATATCCGATATTTTGATATTTATAATAAATATCGGATATTTTCGAACCCTGATTTTAGCTCACCTTCATATTTAAATACCCATCTGCAACAGTTCCATAAACCACCTATTGCTCACAGACAACGGCCCGCGGCGAGGGCTGGCCCATAGACACGCTGTGTTGGGAGTTCTCCGTCATGCCTCTCGAGGAGTCCGGCTTCGTGCGACCGCCGCGCGACGGAGGCGTCTATGTCAGGTTATTATGCTCGCACACTCACTATACTTATTCTGTGCTGCGGCCGCCCGTCGAATAGTCGCGACAGCAATATAATTACGCGTGAGCGATAAGGATGGGTAGCTTGGGGTCATTGGACGAAATTCTATCAGCTCGGCGACCGGACTTTAGTTTTGCCTTCATTGTTTGAGTTTCGTTGGAGGCCATGCTGTAGAGCCTGGCTATACAGTAAATGTAGTGGTGGGATATTGTCCGTTGCTTCGTCTGCGTAAAATACAGTTTGTCACAAAAAGACCTAGACCGACACTTGTCGTTGTAATTAGGCCTATTAACTCAATATTGTTATTAATTTTGTCTTTAATATTATAGTTTCATAAAAATCCGTTCAGTAATTTTTACTTGAAATACTAAAAACATCTATTTATCCATCCATCCAACTTCAACATTTCTATATTCAATCCTAATCCAAATCCGTCCGTCAATGTTTTTGGTCAAAATATCTACGGTTTTCGATCTTTTTACATTTTCATATTTCAATACTATTTAAACAATAAATTGTAAACGCACCAAACATTATGGATGTTTGATCGAAAATAGGTTCAAATTTGACAGTTGCAATCCGGATTTCGACAACGATTGAATATGAGAAACGGGCGGTAGTCAATAAATAAAAAATCTGCTTATTGCCTCCAGGGGCCAGTACCTCGAAGGCGCGAGCTGGTTCAAAAAGGAGGGCCACTTGCAAGAGCCGCTGCCCATGCAGCTGGTGTTCCCTCTCACGCCCATACACTTCAAGCCCATCCGCGCCACGGGACGGAGGCTCAAAAGTAAGTGCCATCATATTTTAAAGATCGTTTCGGCCACAAAGTGAGAAGCCACACGGACACGGTGCGGTGCGGCGCTGTATCCCAAACATTTTGCCGCATCAGGCTAACTCATGGCGCGCCCGCGGCGGTTGCGGGTCCGCAGCTTCAGTAGAATGCAGATACTTATGTAAAAACTAATGCACAACTGACGACGTGGTTTTCGACCGCAGCTGGCGCGGTTGTAATCGGGTCCGGCGCATAAACCGCCCGATCGGCGGGCGACCATTTTGTACCAGTGACTTAGCACGCGGTGCAATTTTAATCGTGAGTTCTTAGAATAACCGCTCCCGTGAGTTTTGAAATAAAACCGCAATTCCACAACCGCCGCGGGCGCGGGTAAAAATCGCGCCGTGAGTTCTTAGCCTCACTGTACACTATATTATGTGGTATGCGGCGCCGCAACGGCACCGTCTCGCTCAATCGCAATGCGGTGTGCCTGCGGTGCGGCGCCGGAACGCACCGTCTACGCGTCTGGCATATCATTGATTTTTATATGCAGGACGCCGCAGCGACATCGCTTCTCCTGAAGACGCGCCCCACCATTCTTCCGCGAATGTTTCAACACGCTAAAATTATCCATGAGTGCACACGCACAATACAATAATGACGCTCAGATTGCTCAGATTTAACTCCCCGCACCACGCGCTTCCCTCGACCAAAAATTGGTGGGGCGCGTCTTCGTGGATGAAACGATCTCTAATAACAAAGATCGCTATTGTTATTCTGTTTACGTTCAGTAGTTTTTTGCGTGAATGAGTAACTAATATTTGCCATTTCATTCTTACAAACTTACATTTACAATAATAGTAGGATAGGATTAGTAGGAGAGAAAAGGATTAGCAAGATAAAATCGAAATAGTAGGATAAAAAACGATTATTAGGATAGAAGAAGATTATTAGGATAGGATATAATTATGTAGTAGGTCTATTAGGTCTAGTATGATAGAGGATATGACTAAGAAAGGATAGGATTAGTCATAGGATATAATTGGTAGGATATAATAGGATTATGTAGTAAGGCAGAATAGGATCAGTAGGATAGAGTAGGAATAGTAGAATAGTCGTAGAGTAGGATCAGTAGCAGAAATAGGATTTACACTCGGCATCAAATAAATCGCACCTCCCGCGACAAGCACTTATCAAACGTATGCATCCCCACTTCCCACCAACATTGGTACCATTTGGAAACCTAGTTCTAAACTTCATTTCATTAAAGGAAAGGTTTTTACCCCAAAAATGTGTCTTTACAAGGATCCAGAGTCACTTCTTCAAAAAATATTTAGTTACGCTATAGCCATTTTTTATGACTATAAAACTGTTAAGTTGGGATTAATCGCTATCCATCTGTTAAAGAGGACACGTGAGATCTTTATTTGGTTTTATAACCATAAAAATTGGTCTAATTGATCCCAGAGGTGAGCCCAAAGTGAGGTCTATTTTCAAGTCACATTTATGGTAAATGTTAATCATTTATTTAGAAATGAAATGTATTTTTCTTTAAGGATATTTATTGGGCTTTCAAATAACACCAATATTGTTGGGGTACCATGATTGTGTCAGAAGAAAATCTTTAAAGTTCGCGTCGCGGAAGGTGCGGTTTATTTGATGTTGAGTGTATAAGATAGAATAGGATAGATAAGGTTAGTAGGATTAGTAAGATAGGATAGAAATTAAATAGATAGGCGTGCGCCCCACACTGACGGCCGGTTCTACCCGTAGATCGCTACGTGTGCCCGTGCTACTACTACCCCATGCGCAAGGGCGCCTTCGTGGTGGCCGTCGACCTGCCCTCGGGCAAGGAGACGGCCGACTTCTGGGTCAAACGCGGGACGGCTCTGCTGTGCACGCTCGCCACATAAATTCTGACGTTGTACCGTGTGGACTTAGATTTATTAAACCGATTCAATTTAAAAGGGTCTTTGTTATTTTTAGTACAGTTGCCCGCGCTAACATACAACATAATTGAGTTTTTCTCAAAGATGCTCGCTTCCGTTTTATTTCGACGTTGCCGTTTAGCGTTGAGCTTCATTTGTGACTACACAAAACGAGCGTGGGGTATTGTATTATCTACACTAATATTATAAAGAGGAAAACTTTGTTTGTTTGTTTGGTTGTAATGAATAGGCTCAAAAACTACTGAACCGTTTTTAAAAATTCTTTCATCATTCGAAAGCTACATTATCCACGAGTAACATAGGCTAAATTTTATTTTGGAAAAACATAGGGTTCAGGGGTCCACGCGCGCAAAGCCGCGGGCGGAAAGCTAGTTAATAAATAAAACATAAAATATTAATCATGATTAATATTTATTTATATATTTTTATTTTACAATATAACAGTGGTAAAAACCGAAATGTGTGTAGACTTAAAACTTAATAATACAGATAATATATACCGTTAGTTATTGAAATCTGAACACCGGAAGAATTTGCGACCAGAAAGGACATCAGTTAGGTGGCAGAAAAGTATTTATCGACGCAGAGCAACAGTTATTTCTAATATACATACGAGTATACAATGTATGTCATACATATTTTTATTCTAAGGGTTAGACTACACCGGCTTGTGGTGTATGAAATGGAATGGATTACCCATTTATTCAGGTTTTATTTGTGAGTCTTGTGTAATAGATATTAATTTGAATTAAGTAACTTTAAATATTATATAGGAATTAAAATATAACGGGGATATTCTATGATAAATCTTAACAATAAAATAATGTTATTTAATATGTTTTGGAAACTATTACTCTGTTGTTATGGACGTTATCAGAAGCCGTAGACTTTGTCGGCGTCGACGCTGATGAAGTAAGGCTTCTTGTTGTTGTCGCAGGAGCAGTAGCAACGGCCTCCACCGTTTGTGTTGTCGTCGATCACCAACGTGCGGAGGTTTATGTCGCTTTCCACACCTCGTTGACCTAAAAAATACATACTTTCTTTATACAACTAACCTTGAACTTTTGGGATTCACGACATGTAACGTTAATGTATAAAGGTGTAATTGGTGAAATCTCTGAATCACCCCGGAATAGTTTTAATTAACTTAATTATATGTAGTTAGAAAGGCCTCACCTTGAGGGTACCTCCTAGGTCCAAATGGAAAACGTCTATGTCTGTATATTCTGTCGTACTCATCGAGGTAGTCGTCATCGTCGTATAATCTTCGCCTGTTCCTTCGGTCCAGCACGCTCCTCCATCTTTCTAAGTCTTCTTCGATCTCGTCGATGGCTTCGATTTCTTCAACGTCCCTCCAGAGAGGAGGTTGTGGTAGGAACGGGTGTCGGAGTCGTGGATTCCATTTATGTCCTGGGATAGCTGGTCTGCCTGGATGTCCTGGTGTTCCTGGCCGGCCTGGTATTCCAGGCTGCCCTGGGGTGCCTGGGCGTCCTGGTCTCGGGTGTCCATGGGCTGGGCCTGATCCTGGGTGTCCTGGAGTGCCTGGATGTCCAGGTTTCCCTGGATGTCCAGGTGTGGCTGGTTGTCCTGGTGTGCCTGGCTGTCCGGGCTGTCCTGGTGTGGCTGGGATTCCTGGTCCACCTGGCTGTCCTGGTACGCCTGGTTGTCCTGGTATGCCTGGCTGTCCTGGTGTGGCTGGCTGGCATGGATGTCCTGGTGTAGCTGGTTGTCCTGGCTGGCCTGGTTGTCCAGGTTGTCCTGGAATGCCTGGCTGTCCTGGTGCTGGCTGGCCTGGTTGTCCTGGAATGCCTGGCTGTCCTGGTGTGGCTGGCTGGCCTGGCTGTCCTGGTGTGGCTGGCTGTCCTGGTTGTCCAGGTTGTCCTGGAATGCCTGGCTGTCCTGGTGTGGCTGGCTGGCCAGGTTGTCCAGGTTGTCCTGGAATGCCTGGCTGTCCTGGTGTAGCTGGTTGTCCTGGGTGACCTGGTCCGCTAGGGTGGCCTGGTTGTCCAGGTTGACCTGGAATGCCTGGCTGTCCTGGTGTGGCTGGCTGGCCTGGTTGTCCTGGAATGCCTGGCTGTCCTGGTGTGGCTGGTTGTGTTTTTACGTTAGGCAAAGAGAATTTTATACATTTTGTTTTCTTTGCATTCAGTTGTAGATTATTTGTAGTGAACCAACTTAAAACTCTTGTTAGTGCATTATTTACATCGTCAAAGTTATTTTAACTTCTATCAATATTAAAAATCAAAGATGTGTCATCAGCAAATAACACGATTTCGCAAGAGTCCTTAACAAAATATGGTAGATCATTAATGTATATAAGAAACAAGAATGGACCCAGAATGGACCCCTGCGGAACTCCCATTTTCACAGGTGACCCAGAAGACAAAACACCATTTATGTCGACTTTTTGAACTCTAAAGTTTAAATAGGATTTTATTAAATCCAAAGCCGAGTCCTTTACCCCATAATAGTGCAGTTTGCGAATTAGCGTTTGATTTCCTACGCAGTCAAAAGCTTTTGAGAGATCACAGAAGACCCCTAGTGCATTTTGAGAATTCTCCCAAGCCTCGAAGATATGTTTAAGTAGTGCAACCCCGGCATCGGTGGTGGAACGACCCTTGGTAAAACCATATTGTTCACTATGAATTAGTTTATTAGAGCCAAAGTGAATAATAAGTTGCTCCTGTATGATTTTTTCAAAAATCTTGCTCAAAGCGGGCAAGATAGAAATAGGTCTATAATTGCCAGGGTCGGTTTTGCTACCAGACTTAAATAATGGCATTAGTCTACTGTGTTTCATGCGGTCGGGGAAGATTCCCTTCTCTATGCAATTATTGAATATTATCGCTAACTGTGGGGAAATTATATCAATAATGTGTTTGACTATCTTGACAGAGATGCCCCAGATATCAGTTGTACTCTTTACATTTAAAAGATTAAAAGTTTTAGTGATATCTAATGGAGTAATATGTTTAAAAGAGAATAATTATGATGATGAGCTATCTAGTAAATTGACGTTAAAATCTCCACAAACTAAGACCTTTTTGTTGCTGTTACAAGTTTTATTAAGAGCATCCTCAATAGCCGCTTCAAAAATACCAAAGTCCCCAGAAGGGGGTCTATACACACATACACACATACCTGGGTGGTTTGGTCCTCCTGGGTGTCCTGGCTTTCCTGGTTGGCCT